TCGTTTCCGTAACCGCCTCGGCCGCGACCAGCGCCGTAGGGACCTTGAGCGTGGGGTTCGTGTCCAGCCCACGGCTGGCCAGCGGTATACGGTGCAGGAGCGGGATACGGTTGGGCGTAGGGTTGCTGCTGTGGTTGTTGCGGCTGCTGTGGCCCGTAGGCTGGCTGGTGAGATGGCGGCTGAGGATGTTGTGGGTGTTGAGGATGTTGTGGGTGTTGAGGATGAGCGTAGACCTGGGGAGCGTAGTTCGGATGGTAGTTGGAAGTCGACAAAGGCGTAGGAGCGTGAGCGCCATGCTGGGCGGCGCCATGTCCGTGGTCTTGATGCCACTGCTGCTGAGGAGGGTAGTTGCTGCCAGCAGGTTGTTGCTGCTGGGCGGGATATCCTGGGCTATGTTGAGGGTATGGCTGCTGGCGGGGATATTCGTACTGAGGCTGATGGGCCGGGGGGTACTCTGGGCGACCATTTGATGGATAACCAGCACGCCCGCCACGGGCAGCATGAGCACCTCCGCCTCGTGAATGCTGTTGGTAAGCGCCGCCGTGATGCCCATATCCAGGATGGCTAGCCTGGGCAGCCGGAGGCGGAGGTGGTGGGGGACCGTAGTTGTAGCCCGACATGTTGGCTCGAGGACGACGACGCGTTCTTACTATCTTCGCAGTCGAGTTGCCAAAGAGCGTTCGGGGGTTTTGAAGAAAGGAACCGTGAAAAAGTGCAGGAAACGCAGTGTTCGATTGCAACGACCTTGACGATTTGTGCACCAATCTTTATTTGCAAGAGTAGCAGGGATGGTTCAAAATTCGATCAACGTAGCAGAAAGCAGTATTGCCTTTTCGAAAGTAGCGTGTTCTATGCAGAGAGCACCAGTTTGAGAAAAGAAGAAAGGCGGCCGACCTGTAAAGATTGAGGTGATGAAGGAAGGGAAGCGAAAGGCTCTAGGATGGAAGAGACGGCTGGACGCAGTTTCCCTGACCTGACGCGAAGGTGAGGCGAGTGCGTGGAGCCCCTAGGACTTGAGCTTTCGGAGTCGCCCTACAGTCATTTCGGGTCCCGCAATAACAATTCCAGCGGGTTGCGACAGAGGCGCGCCGCCTGGACAGACCTCGAGCCACTAAAACGTGGTGGGCCATAGGGATACACATGCACCCTGCAACCGCTAAGGCTAAACTCAACGTAGAGGGCGGTAAGAGTCAATCTGCTTCCCAAGACCAAAGCGCCCCGCGATTTTGCCGATTTTGCGATCTCACTGAGCGCCGGTACAATACACTGAACCACGACTCGAAAGACCCAAACACGACCTTCCAGAGGCGTTGAGGGGACGGACGATGATACCGGATCAATAATATATTTTACCCGGGATCTTTCTGGTCTACAATCCGCCGTCTCGAAGACAAAGCGCTCAACATGTTCATCCTAGTAAGACTCAAAAACTCACAAATTTCACCTGAGTGTGTCACTAACACAAAGGACCCAATCAAGACCAAGATTGCGGATCTGGTCGAAATCGCACCAGAAGACTTCCGCAAGAAGAGCAAAGCCGCCATTGAGGACAACATCAATGCGAAGTACGCCAACAAGGTCATACAGAAAATTGGTCTTTGCATCTGCCTCTACGATCTTTTGTGGACCTCTGAGGGCCTCATCGGCCATGGCACAGGCCTCGTCAACGTCAATGGTAATTCCACGAGCTCAAGCCCATCAAACTTTTTTTTAAATCATCTTTAACAAACGCGGCAGTGGAGTTCAGACTCATCGTCTTCAGACCCTTCAAGGGCGAAGTCATGATTGGAAGAATTAGAAGTTCGACGCCGGCCGGCATCAACCTGAGAACCGACTTCTTTGACGATATCTTCATCCCCTTTGATGAGCTTCCCGAAGGTGCCGAGTTGTACGTGCCGCCACACCTGCCTTGTCACCTTGATGCCTCACTAACACGACTCTAGCAACCACTCAGAGCAGCTATGGATCTGGAACATTGAGGACGACAGACTCTTCTATGATAATCACGAAATGGTCAGATTCCAGGTCATCGATGAAGAGTGGCACGACCAGACACCCGCAGGACCAAGCCAGGGCGAAGAGGCTGCTCCGCCCAAGCCGCCGTACAAGGTGAAGGGCACCATGGCCATGGAGGGTCTCGGCGTATGCCTCTGGTGGGACGGACAGGGCGGCGAATAGCCTTCAGATGGCTCCTGAAATCTCACAAGCGTGATTCAGACATGGAAAGGGCCCCGAGGCGTACGGATGGGCGCGGATTTTGTGTATTGTTCTACAATTCTATGACTTGATACCCGCAAGCAGTCTGGATTCCACATCATCCAAAACAGAGTAGTGGTCGACGACGGCAATGTTCTCCGCCTCGCCCTTGAACTGCTTGTCGGGGTCGACACCGGGTCCAAACATCTGAGGGGCACCAGCGGCACCTCCCATCTGCCCCATTTGCTGGGCCATCTGGCTGGCAGCTTAATGATGTCAGTATGCTGGAAGGGCAAGGCTAAGATAGTTTCAGACTTACCGTTGTCGCTTCCCAAGATGAAAACGAAGACAGACTGCAGACCAAAGATGCAGAGGAAGTACCAGGAGATACTGGACATCCAGCGGGGATCCATGTCCTTGGTCGCCACACCCGCCTGAAGCATGCTCTTGAACTTGATGGTGATAGGGAAGGGCAGTTTCACTAAGACAGTCAGCAGCCGCACAAAGTCCTGATATTGATCATGCAAAACATACTAATGACGTATCCGCTGAAGAAGGCGTTGATCCAGCTCATGATCAACGTGTTGGGAATAATCATGGCCATGTTATTCTTCATCATCCCCATCATCCCGTCCATCGCGCCAGGGTCGGTAAGCGGATTCGCGGGCGGCTGGCCCTTCTGATCCGGGTTCTTCAAGTACGCGCCGGACTCGTACGCCGCGACGAGCGCATCGCGGCGGGCCTCAAAGGACTTCTTGGAGAGGACGTGGTGGTTGGTGCGGACCGTGACGCCATGCATCAGGCTGCGCTGCTCCTTGAGCGCGGGCTTGTCGAGCTTCTTGGGTGCGGTGGCGAGCAGAACCGTGGCATAGTGACGCAGGATGCCGGTCAAGACCATGACCACCGTGATCGGGAATAGGATCCAGTAACTGTCGGGGTTGTGAGGTCAGCATACGCGGTTGCAACTGAGGACGGGCAAGGCGGGACTTTGCGTACAGGAGCTGGGGATCCCGATGGATCGTCTGCACCGGGACTTGGGCCATTCTGGGCTTGTATATGACGGTTAGAGCCGGGCAATGGTGTATCAGAGACGGTAACGGCGCTCGTCGTTGCGATGCAGCCAGGTGGTTGAGAGCTCCGCCTGCATCAATGTAATCTGGTGGAGTTGGATGTCTGTATCGAGTGGGAGCTTCCTCGGGTGCTTGTTTCGCCGAGCTTCCGAAAGACCACCTTCCACTTTCACCTCTCCCCACGGACGGGACTTCGCACAAGGGTCCAAGCTGTCCTAGACTCCTAGCTCCGAAAGCCAGGCTGGAGGTTACAAGCCAAACTATCACAACTCCACGCCTGCCCGCCTCACGCACAGCTGTCAAGTCTACTCGAAAGAAGAATCCCGAAAACTGAAGTAGACAAAATGTCTTCCGAAAAAATTACGGTCCATAATCTGGCCGGTATGCACTTCCCTTCACCCTTCTATGGCCCTGCGCTAGGCCTAGCTATCGCATCACACTAACACAAGCTCCTCCCCCCAGACCTGAAGAATACCTCGGACGATGCTCTCCCCAACTACCTCAACTCTCTCAAATTCACCCAGTCCCATGCGCTCACCGATGTCCGCCTCGCGCTCGGCTACTCAGCATTTTTGATTGCGGGCGCATGTTTCCTCTGGGATTATAAGCTCGGCTTCGACAGCACAAAGTACTACACGGCCGCCGCCGTGGTCCTCTACTCGATCCTCAACGGCGCTCTTACGCTATGGATCTGGTTGAAGGAGGCAGGCACCGTGTATGAGGGCACATCACCCTCAGGCGAGAAGGTAAGGCCACTTTGCTTTCTTTCGTGCCCTCTCAGCAGCTAGCTGCATGTGCTCCCAGGACATGGACAAACCTTGACTTACACGCCCGCGAAACAGGTCAACATCGCGACATCCACAAAGAAGAACGTACCGACCTACAACATGAAGATCACCCTGACCTCGAAGAACGGCGAAAATAAAGTCATCAACCTCTCACAACCCTTCAACCAGTGGTTCGACTCACAAGGCCGCTTCGTCGCGGTTCCCTTCCAGGAGATCCTCGCTACCAACATCCCCGTCGTCGGCAAGCTTGACCCCAAGCGTATCACATCCGCCTCCCAGGGATACTCGACTGATGTCCTCGACGCGCTGTACGCGGAGAGCACTGCGACGGGGAGCGGCGCGGAGGCGGCCAAGGGTGGCAGCAAGAGACGCAAGGCATAGACAGGGCCGGACTGGAGGTGGTTTGGACTTGTTACCGCATGGGGCTTGCCAATAAACTTTTTTGTGTAAATTACGGATAATTGGAACCGTCAAAAGCATGGTGTCTGTGTTTTTGCTTAGTATATTGCTTCAACGTGCTACAATCGCACCATCTATGCCTTGGTGATAATTATCATTATTCGCTCCATTCCTCGGCCGGCTTATGCTCTGGACAGCATTCATGCGCAGCAACCAAAGTGTCTCTGGTGAAATCATTGCAATGCCTTGTGTGATTTTTATCTCATTAAACTGGATGCTGGTCGTCTAATACTGATGATCCATTGGACCTCCAAACGCCTCGCCATGCCACCAACCCTCACCATCATGCAAGTCCGCCGAATACCTCGTCTCCCACTCTCTGTTCCAACACATGAGTCGCTGCCCTCCTATACTAACAAACCATCACTTTCGTGCCTCGACCAAAGCCAATTCAAACTCGACTGATCCATGACAAAAGCGCAAAGCCATCACCTCGTGTTCAACTCATTCTTTCGAAACTACTTCAAGCTCTGAAAGTCAACATACGTCAGTTGACCTCGTCCCAAGCCTTACGAGACTTGAGGGCAGCCTCTCTGACCATTCGCGACTCGTCTCCAGAGGCCTGAGCCAACAAGCGCTTGGCCTGGGACGCCGAGTCGAGGAGATGGCGATGCTCAAAGTTGGGCGGCAGTTGCCCGATGAGACGAACGACCAAGGCCCGGCATTGCGCTTCCTGGAATCCGGAACGGTCAAAGGGCACGTAATTCTCCGGCATCCAGGTGTTGTCTTCGCCGGCTTGCGTCGTGTCTCTTCTAAAGATCGACAGGGAGGCATCAATGATGCTCTTGAGGAATGGTTGCATGCGTCTGGGCGAGTTCTCCGTGACGGCCACCAAGATCTGGAGACCGGCTGCTACATCTGCGCTAGCCGGCAGATTGCGGATCGCGCAGAGAATGATTCGGATAAGATCCTCCGTGTCGTCCTCGTAGTGCGCGTACTTGATGTGCCTGACTGCTCTCAAGACTGCAATGCTATAATTGGCCGCAACAAGCATGTCATCCTTGCTGTTCGAGCCGGCAGGCCAAGCCTTGGGCAGCATGGGCTTGACCAACTCGTAGTAGGCCCTCTGCACCCAGAGCTTTTTAAGCTGGCCGTAGAACTCGGGCTTTGCGAAGTCCAGGTCACTGAAGATGAAATCCATGCTGCGAGCAAGCGTGTGGCCAATCTTCTTATTACCAGGACCTTGAGTTATAGCCGTGAGAACATTCTTGAGAGCGTTACCAGTGTAGCGTCGGAGAATGCCGACTACAATCGCGTATACAGGCCTTGCCAGAGCTGCTCTGAGGTCGTTGGGGCTGTTTCCAGCCACCACATTCTCCTCATGGTCGAGGTAGCCAGTGATTTGCTCCAGCTGGTCAGACAGTCTCTCTTCGCTGACAACGAAGTTCATTTGATATTCCATAATCTGGACGATATCGTTCAAATTCTCAACCTTGTATTTGTTGGCGATGACGCACAGAATAGCCGTAACGACTTGCCGGCACTTTGGCGAGTCTGAGTGGTCTCTGGTGAGAAGGCCAGCAATCAAGATCTGGTGTGCGGTTCCTCTTTCAACCTAGAACAGAGTGTTAGCAAAGCTTCCTTGGTCTTGATGCAACGGTTATCTTACCAAACGCTCGACTGTGGTTGGATGGAAAGCTTGAATAATGCCCAAGGAGAGGATGACAGTACGGCCGTGGCTGAAACCACTGATGGGGAACTGGGGAGGATCTCTCATGTTGTAAGGAGTCTGCGGAAGACCCATGGTCCGCAGCATGGCCGCTCGCAACTCACTATTGTTCCAGCTGTGGGTCTCGGTGGGATTAGGATGGCGATACTGGTCGGTTCCACGGAAGAGTGTTACGACTTCTTCGTTCAGAAGCAGGTTGGTCTGCTGGTATTCGCTCATGTGCTGGATAGTGAACATCGCAATATTCGAGAGGCGGTGCAAGTAGGCATCCTCTTCATTCTTGTCTTCCGGATCCTTCTTGCCAAAGTCGTCGCTCAAGGCAAGTGAAAGCTCGGAATTGTCGGCATAACTGATGATCTTGGTGGCCCGTCTGTAGAGCTGTCGAGTGACGTACAGATTGATCAAGGCGAAATCTCCTTGAAGATTGTCAACTTCCTTGCTCTCGTCCGTCCCTGACGTCGAGACGATCTGGTCGTCAGGGAGGCGTGGCAGATTAGGGAAACGGTTTGCCACGTAGCTAACCCAGTTGTCGTCGAATCGCGTGTCGCTGAAGTTGTTTTTGACGGGCAAGTTGATGAGTTCTTTGGCTCCTTCCTTGAACTGAATCATGGCCGAGAATATGTAAGTAGCAATGACCGACCAAATCTTCGGGTCAGCTTTGGCGTCCTGCATCTTGTAGAGGTTAACCAGAAGCGCTTGCATGAAGTATGTGTAGTGTTTGAGCTTCTCAGAGCGAGGAGATTCGGAGCAAAAGACGTAGGTCAGTCTAGCGAGATTGTGCCTGAGAACATTGTGCATGCTGTCCAAGTTGTTGGCCGAAGGGGAAGCACTGTACGCGTCACAGACTCGGAAGCATGTGTCGATGAGCATGGGTTGCGCCGGCGGGTGTGCCATCGTAGCCTTTTGTAAAGCAATAGCAGCCTCGTCGGATATCTTGAGTTGATTCTTGTCCTTCGCCGGTTCGTCAGGGGCTTGAAGCGCAAGAGTTGCTAGGTTGTCGCAAATTTCGTTTAGTGTTTCTTCTGGAAGCATCGGCTGGTTCGACTGTCCAATTTGAGCTGCTCTCTGACATACCATCAACCCCAGACCTTTGGTTGCCTGTTGACCGATGGTGATATCTTCGGGTTGCGCAGTATCTTGTAGAGCTTTTTGGAAGAGAGGCAGGTACGTCTGCTTGTAGATGGGGGCAAGTAGCGGCTCGGTAGATTTGAAGGCCTCGGCGTCCTCGACACTCAGCTCCACGCCTCCTCCAATTAGGGCTAACCGCAACTCGAGTAGAGAATTCAGCAGAATCAGGAGATTCTTCGTGTGGTCAGGTGACTTTGTGTGGCGGAGATTCTCCTTGATATGGGTCACAGACGGGGAGATCATGAGTGCAAAGGCAGCTGGCTTTGCGCTGTGGATGGAGATCAAAAGCTTTCCTGAGGCTGCCGTGTAGATCGGGTTTGACAGGTCCTCCAAGCAGTCTCTCTGAACAGTCAGGGCATAATCCCTGAGCTCGTCACCGGTAAGTCTCTTGGCGACTGTTCGAATGACTTCCAAGGTGGCATTGATGGTGTCCTCGATCTCCCCATTGCGGACTTCATACTTGAGACTGTCCCAAATCTTGTTGGTAAAGGGGGCGACTCCTTGCTGAACATGTTCATAGCCGCTCAGACATGCGGTCATGGTCTTGAGGATGTCAACCTACAGCAGTGTCAGCACAGGTATAAATGACATAGTCCAAGGAAGAACACAAACCTTGACGTTGACACTGACACTGTCCGGCTGGTCTAGCCTGCTAAGGAGGTATGGAATAGCCTTGTCAGCGACACGATGATGTGCCGAAAAGCAAGCCCTCAAGGCCAATTTGAGATCATCCGCTGTGATTCCCGAAGGATGCTGTGATGTCCTTAACGATATGGGGAAGTATGCTGAAAAGATACTGAAAATCTCATCCACGACCTCCGGTGCAGGGGAATAGTCTGAAAGAAAGACCTTCAGAATCTTGAACCAAGTCATCAGACACTTAGGGTCTCGCTCATTGCGACATAGTTGCAAAAGATCCGTGATGAAGCCCGAGGTTGTGCCGTGTTGGTACTGCAAGTCGTTTGCTACATCCGGGTTGGTGATAAGATGGTCCAGAAGTTCATATACTGTTGCACGGGTTTCTGCGACCTGGGACTTGAAATCATCACCAAGGCTGCACACACTCTGGATAATGTCGTTTCCCTTTTGTGGCTGGAAAGTCTTCATGCCAGCAGTTCGGTCAAGAGCCTTCGCAGCGGGCATAATGCCAGCCTTGTGGTCGACCTTGAACATGCTTCCAAAAAAAGCCACCAGGAGGTTGGCTGAGAATGCGGCGTTAGCAATGAGCCTTTGAGTACACATGCCTTCGGCCTTACTTACTTTGATCGGCTTTGAGGAATGCGGGATCCAGATGCTCAAGAGTCCCTGCTAGAAAACTCAAAGCTAAAGAAGGTGTCATAGTCAGTAATCGTCTTTATTCCAATACGGTCTTTACTCCTGTACCTTTGGACCGTGCAATGACATCACCATCGCCATCATCCTGGTCTTCATTTGCGCTGGGCATCCAGGGTCGAATAGATTCTACCCATCTTGCAACTGGATTGCTAGGTCTGGGTGCTGACTGGATCTCTGGGGTCATGTCAGCTGTTTGCATGGTTGGTGAAAGGGTAGGAATGGCCATATACAGACCCGAAGCTGCCTCCTGTGTGATTGCTGTTTGTCTCTCAGTATCGTCGCTGAGCACGAACTCGAGTGCAAGTTTCCGAAAATCGGCCATGATAGTCGTGAATTGCGATGAAATCAAAAGCGTCTAATGGTAGTTTCGATTGCCCAATGTATGTTGCTGTATCGAAGTCCACTTCGCGTAGTGTGAAGATGGGTGGATGCCAAGCTGGTACTGTCTAGATGCAATCGGAAAGGTGTTGTAGTAAGAAGTTGTGAGATATTCCGTCGTTCCTTCTCATGTGCTTCCAAAGTTGACCCCGCGCCTGCTCAAAATGCGTCCCGAAAGAGTGAAAGAGAGGCAAGACGTGCTCCTCTCATGCAAATTGCTTGTCTAGATATCCAATTTCATGAACGTGGTAGTCGCTTTAGATTGGGGGGGAAATGGTGGTTTGGCGAATAGTCCGCTGGGTATTTGTCAGTTGCCGATACTGGGCTTCATACCACCGAAAGCCGGTGATGAGTTGTGAGATAATTACTCAGGCTTGCTGGGTTGTTGGTGGGGGATATCTCAATTGAGAAGGCGGTGTAGCACTTATCGTCATTATCGCGGTATGGAGGAACCAATCTCCGGTGGATAGACCTTTTTGGGCTTAGCGTTAATTGTCAACTTATCTTTACCGGTTCGCCATTTCAAGGTATTTGTTGTCTCTGGTCATAAACTGGCTTGCTTTGAGGAAGAGCTTTACACTCGTGATTATTCTTGAGCTGTTTAGTCGCTGCGATCTGCTCTCTGTCAATGCTTTCAGCCTGGAGCGGAATTGCAACAGATGGGAGCGGTAGTGAGCTAGTCTTAATTGGGTAAGAGGGTATGGAGGGGTAACACAGACGGGACTGCGCAAGGGCCGCGGGGTCCTGTTCCAGCGAACGGAGGAAAAAAAAATTTGGACGTCGAAGTCGGAGCGTGCCCCTCCAAAAGACTCGGAGCCATTCAGCTTCACTTGATTAACCTTTCTTCACTTTCACTGCCCCAATAACGCGTCAAAATTCGGATTTCGAATCCTGATCAACTGCCACTCCTATAAGCGCCGATATATTGGCTGTCTTTGCCAGTTAGTCTTCTCTCCTCCACTCCCGATATGCTCTACAACGCGGCATCGCGGGGTCGGAGGTGGTGGGGCTTTCCCAAGTACTAATTCGGGGATAGAAGCCGACGGGCAACTCACTCCAACCACATATGTGAGTGACAGTTCTGTCAGCCGAGACTGAGAGACCCGACTAACAATGCTGTCAAGCCGCGTGTATCAAAACTGGAGTTTGCCTCCCTTTCATAAAAGATGGCCTCCAACGAAGCTGTGCCCAAGACCTGCAAGGTCATTCTGGCCGATACCATCGCCAAGCGTCTCCTGACTGAGGTTCACGAGACCCTCGCCAAGGTGCAGGGCAACGGCGCCTCCAAGCCGACCTTGGCGGCGTTCCTGGCAAACGACGATCCGGCTGCATTGCAGTATGCTGAGTGGTCTAAGAAGACCTGCGTCGAAAAGTAGGCGAAAAACAAACCCTTTGTCGCTGCAAAGACAAGTTGTCTCTGTGTGACAAGACGTGTATAAAAAATGAGCAAAAATTGGATGCAAAAGGTAGCTGACGAGACGGTGTTCACCCCCCTTTCCAGCGGCTTCGACTTTGACCTGCGCCGTGTCGACAAGGAGCAGCTCGAGGAAAAGATCACCGAGGCCAACGAGGACGACAAGGTCGACAGCATCATCGTCTACTACCCCATCTTCCCCGGCAACCCGCTCCAGGACAAGTACATCCAGGAGACAGTCTCCCTGGCAAAGGACGTCGAGGGCCTCTGCCACCAGCATATCTTCAACATGTACCACAACGTCCGCTTCCTGGACCCGCCCCACAACCTGAGAAAGTCCATCCTCCCCTGCACGCCCCTCGCCGTCGTCAAGATCCTCGAGCACCTCCAGATCTACAACCCCATCCTGGCCTACGGCAACCGCCTCTTTGGCAAGACAATCACCGTCATCAACAGGTCCGAAGTCAACGGCCGACCCCTGGCCGCCCTGCTCGCCAACGACGGCGCCACCGTCTACTCGGTCGACATCACCGGCGTCCAGCTCTTCACTCGCGGCAAGGGCATCAAGCAGATCCGCCACCAGGTCGAGAACAAGGAGGGCTGGGGCCTGGAGCAGGTCCTCCCCCTCAGCGACGTCATCATCGGCGGCGTCCCCAGCGAAAAGTACAAGATCTCGACCGACCTCATTCGCGAGGGTGCCGTCTGCATCAACTTCTCCTCCCACCGCAACTTTGACGCGCCCACCGTCAAGGAGAAGGCGGCCATCTACGTCCCGTCAGTTGGCAAGGTCACCATTGCGTGCCTTTTGAGAAACTTGGTAGTAAGTGAACTAAATGAACACGGCGAACCAGAAACCATATCCCTGACTTTTCACAGCGCCTCATCGCCAACCGTCCCACGACCAAGGACAACGGCAATGAAGATGCCTCAACTGCGCAGGCTAGAAGCGAGGCGTTCACTGAGGGCTAAATCAGCGTGCCGCATTGCCCACCGGCAAGATGGGATATGAAGAGGCACATGGGTTGTCGACTAAAAGCATTGTGGACTGTTTATACGTGGTCAGCCATACGGGAGGATCACTGGAATTTGCGTTGAGGGCTGGCGAAAAGATACAGAAAAAAGCATAGACTATTGGGCATATATCCGGACATTTTGAGACGACAAGATAGAAAAAAACAAAGGCACGCGCGCTTACCCGTGTCACAATTGAGGGAGTTGGAACATGGCATGTCGTCTATTTGCTTCTTTGCATAACATGGTCAAGTCAGACATGATGCCACCCACTTGTGGATATTCATGCTGTTCGCGACAAGGCGGCTGCTATCAGACGCATTGCTGGACGGGGCCTGAGACATAGAAAGGGACCGGGCCCAGGCCCTCGGGAACATCATCTGGAGACATTCCAGCATCCCAAATATGCGGAGCAAAAGCATCAAGCACGCCACAACAGGCCACACGACGAATGCCTAGACCTTTGTGACTTCCTAGTCATTACCAGAGGTTGCCGCCGGCGCGGTGGCCGAGTAGGGCTCTCGGGGAATATGTCATCTCTTTGATTGGAAAGGGACAGAGCCCTAAAACCCCAAGACCGATCGAGATAGGCGACGAGATCCGGGCGCAACGCCTTGTCGACCGGTGCGTTGGGCAGGAGATTTAACATTCGAAGCTATTGACTTATGCCATCGTAAATGAGATTGGGAAAAGCCTTTCATCGACAATCACGAACCTCCTCTCATTGAAATTGCAGACTATGAGCATAAGGTAGTGTGGAGAATAGGTTCGCGGCTTGCCAGTGCCAGATTCTTCCGCAAGTTCCCCCGCGCTCGGGATGCCCGTCCCGTCCATGGGAAGGCATGGTCCAGTAGTTTGAGCGTGGCAAGGATGCCGCTGGTTTGAGGTTACGACGGATCGCTGGATTCACCCAAGATTTGGGATGTGATGGTTGGCGTCGAGATTGGTTCGGCGACTAGAGTCAATGCAAAGCAGGAGAGAAAATTTTGTTAGATAGACGAGCACGATATATCTGACCTGTAGTAAGAATATACCGGGCGATGCCTGTGTTAAGTTAAAGATGCATGGCGTCACTACAGACGGGAAGCCGTGAGGTCGGGAGACTGGTGGGAGAGACGCGTCGGCGCGCAACAGAGTGGCAGCGGGAGTGGGAGTGCTGAGGTGCCATTGGCATCCCATCTTCCGAGTCGTTCTCTCATTCTGGCTCCTATCGGCCTAGGCGCGTTACAGGCAAATTCAGCCCAGGGTGAAATGCAACACAGTGCATCCGACGAATGGCATAGCTGAAGAAAGGCTGGAAGCGCAACCCCGTAATATATTGTCATGAGATGGACGCGCCGATGTTCGTGCTCGACTATGCAGTACCAATATTCCAGAAACCGCGAGGAATTTGGCAAGTTTGGGTCGGTTGTTCGATCGCTGATTCAGTACGGCGTGCTGGTGCCCCGCCCGCATCCAACGGTCTGGTAGTTCACATGGATGCCTTAATAATAGGCCGCTAGAACTTGAGAGGAGCCTCAGGGTCAACTGAGACTGTCCCTTGAAATCGGAGGAAAGCTTCAGATCATTGCCAAAGTAGGCCAGTAGATGAGGAGTCCGAGGCCAATATCTCCACAGCTACAAATCCATCAGCGAGGTTGTGATGAAGCTTAACCGTGGTGGGATGGGTTCGTCTTAAATGGAGATTCGACGGCCTTCTGCTCGATCAGTAGCGGATTCCCGCGGTGCGTCCACAAATGGAACGAGAGGCGGTCGAGATGTCCTGGGAGGGTAGCCAGGCAGGTCAGGGTTCTGCATGCGGAAGGCTGATGAATTGCCGAGATTTGCGTGAACGTCCCAAGACTCCACCACCGTGCGAGTGCGGTTTTCTCTCGAAGGTGCCCGTGCCCGTGCTTGCCCAGTACGGATACCTGTGCAAGCCGTTGGACGTACGGATACCTGTGCAAGCCGTTGGACCTGCGAAGGGACTTGGAAGGAAGAAAGGAAGGAGGCAGCAGAGAATTATTTGTACCTGGCACCTGCTTCCTTTCTTCAAATTTGTTTACGGATACTTTGGAATTCGTACCTTCCCATCGTAACCGAAGGTACCTAAGCACCTAAGGTGGAAGGCGCCAGGGCCGGGACTGTTTCTTTCCTTGACGCAGCTCCGCTTCTCGTGCACCAACTTCCCTGCCAAGCCCACTTCCACCTGCTGGCCAATGCTTGGGAGGAACCGGGGGCCCCAGTGTCTTAAGGGCAAGTTCAATCTTCGGGTCCAATCATCCTGGCAGTTTCAACTTTCAAGCCAGGCACCGCAGGGCAGCACCTGCAGGAAAGCAACCGCAGAAAAGGAACCACGCTTGTCCCAACAGGGGCAACTTAGTACGCCCGGTTCAGCAACGTCAGGAACACTGCGAGGTGCGAATGACGAATTACATACGAACCCATGGAAGCAGCGCTGTTGACGCTTCGCATTGGTGCTTCCGACTGGACAGCCCAGGCCCCGAGGAAGAAGCAAGGCCCCATGGAAGTTTCCGACTGCTAACGCTGCTGGGAATGGAAGAGAAAGGAACGAGACCCGCACACGACCGCACACGACCGCCCACGCCGCCATCGAGACCCTCCCATGTGCAGCGATACTGCTCTAGCAAGCCACCGCGGGCTAGGGTCGAAGCGGCCGGTCCAGGGGGGCAGACCAACTGCGAACCAGGTTGTGAACTTGCGCGAGCATTGGTCTCCTTCTCTGTTGGAGCAAGAGATTTGAAAATTTTACGAACGAAAGGGCTGCTGGACATGGGGAATGCCTGTCCCCTGTCTTAGCTATTTCGCGAATTAAGAGACGCGGGAAGAAGATGATGACTTGACCAGAAGCGAGACATCAGGCAATGGGGCCAGACCAGGATGCTCTAATACTGCGTACCTTACACTATGAAGAGAGGGACAGACATAATGAGTATCAGATGCCACGCGACATCTGCAGTTGACGGCCCAGAGAAGCCCCTTTGACGGGCATTGCTCTTCCTGTCAGTGTCACTTGCGCGTCTACGGATGCTAATTATTCTGTATCGTTACTTTGTAGACTACGAACAAACCCACGGGCTTTCCGTACCACGCACTTGGTCCTCACTCAGTCAGCTCGCCGATCAACAAGCCAAGACCGTTCTCGGCAGCTGGCTACTGCAGCACAAGTACGAATACATTATTACTTTTCCCTTCCGGCTCGGCCCAGGTTTCGCCCATCCGCTCTCGTGCACCTCAGCCTGTCATTCCCACACCCGTTCGCTTCCAAGGAAAAAGACCTTACTCGATACTCCGTGCTCTAAAGGTACACATTTCAGCTGCGGCGAAGTGTACTTGTACTCTTGTTGTGTGTAAACTTCAACATACGCAGCACATTTGCTACAAGCGAGCAAGTACCTTACATTGGATTGGACGCATCAACTGCCGCCTCAGGTCTCGAGCCCTCCTGCGATCCTGCTCTGTTCGGCTTGTACTGCGTACTCTCTACGGATACTCCATACGCATATGTACGCATACTCGATCCCTGGGCCGCTCATCTCCCGCAGCCTGTCATCTTATCTTGCTTGCACCGCCAACGCAGATCAGTGAAGGGGAAACGAACTGCAACCACGAGGCATTCACCAGATCCATCTTCCGTCTTTCACCTACACTTCCACTCGTTTTGTACGAATACTTGTGCTTTGCTCCTCCTGCGCCTGCTGCACCTCAGCGAGAGACAGGGCAAGCACTAGAGCACCCGCTGCATGTCTCACAAACATCGGCTCAGTCTCATTGGTCGACTTTCTCGATAATTTCAAACATCCTGCGGGACCCTCCATCGCTTTCGCGCCCCAAAACCACCAGCTGCAACCCCTTAAACTTGGGGCCTGTCGCGACACAGCTGTGCATCATCACCCAACACGCTGCAAGAGGAGGAAAAGAAGGGGAAGAACAGCCGGATTCGCTTACAACGGACGCCGTTTGCTCTTGCATCCTGATTTCTTTCTACGATCGACGATAGACCGGCATTTTGACTTCCTCGTTCCGGCCACCTACCCCGAACACGGCGGCCTGTTTGCTACCTATGCGCTTGCATACGACCAACGACGTCTCTATTCCCGCAAACGGACTCCCACTTGCTGCTACGCTTTCTACACTCAGCGCCCGCAAAAGCCACCACGCAATCTCGCATATCTACGGCAGTGCCCCGACCAAATCACCTCTTGACGACCTCTCCGGCGTTTCTCGATCAACCTGCACTTCTGCCTCGAACCCCGCCAAAACTTCCGCGATTTGCTTGCAGCTCGTTTAGCTTCATCTGGTCTGATTGTAAACCTGACAACCAGCTCGACCCTGGAAACCAACTCTTAATCCATCCGAATCACGACCGGACGGGCCACGGGCCAAGCAAACGTGGGCAGCGTTTTTGACTTTGCCCGAAACCTTGCCCAGATGCCTTCGTCCTGACTGTTGCTTATTGTTTACAAAGAGTGACTGTCCATTGAGGTTCTTGCGCCTCTGAAGGTTTACCGGTTAATTGCAGCTAGCCCCGTTGGGAACCGACTCGCTTTGTGTCGCTAGACTCCACGGCCGCTGCAACAACAATCAACGTCTTGCAGCTTAGATCATACAACGCGCAGGAGGCTGCACAAACGCAACCTGAGTCGTTTGCAACCGATTCTGCCATCAAAAACAATGGCAACTCAGACTTTAAACGCCCACGCGGGCCATGCTCACTCGAGCTCCACCTCATCATACCCCCCGCGGCCTGCTTCTCCTACATTGACGAATCCCGACATGATTCTACCCGACTACGACCGCTCGCCCTCTCCCGACCGATCCCATTCTCCGTTGACAATGTGGAAGAATTCACATGCTGTCGATATGAACATGCAGTTCCAATTCCCTCCAAGCGCCTATATCGCCGGGCCCATCACTCCTACGACGCCAATAATCTACGGGAATGGAACTATGCTGTCCGATATTGGTGAGGTCACTGAGGCCGAGAGCACACCTGGTAGAAGATCACGCCCGACTTCGGTGATCTGGTCCAGACCCAATAATCGAAGCGGCGACGATTCACGACAGCCACAGTCACCCACCAAGATGCTCGAGAGCTTAAAGAAGCGGGCGGCTCAAGCGACGCGTTCGCGCCGGTCTTCCGTAGAGTCCACAAGCACCATCACCACCACTCAAGACCAGAATGCCATGTTCGCAGACTTCGACGATACCGTAAGCGTCGACGACAGCAACTTTCAGGGCGATGACGAAGAGAGTGTGGCAGAATCATATGCGGAAGATGTATCTGTGCATCAAGCACATGCCATACATCAACCACCCAGGGAATCCCTCGACGACCCCAATAGGTACTCGACCGCACTCATCAGCCGACGAGCAGAGCAGATTCTGGCGAATGCCAAGCGGAGACTGACGGTAAGTTCTGACCCCGCTGAAACAGTAAGGAAGGCAGGCTGACATCTCCAGACCATGGAAGGCAACTTATCGAGAGCGCGAAGCTCTTTGAGTATCTCGACTCCTTCAATGTCATCGTTTGACGGGAATAATTCGACCCCATCTCCCACGATTTTGCGCCCTGCTTCATCCGCAGCTTCGCCAACTTCTATTCACGGGCACGCAAGGATGTTGAGTGATACGTCTCTCAATTACGACGCAAACAACAACGGCACTATCCCAAGAAGGTCCGCTAGCGCCATGGGAGCGGCTGGAGGCTATCGACAACCGTATTCTGTGCGTAAGAACGTTCATGATGCTACGTTGGAGCGCCTGAACTCTGGAGGGGAAGGCCAATCTCGATACAAGGCAGCACAGGAAATAGGTCTGGAACCTCTTGGCGAGGATGAAGTCGCGCAAGAGTTCCACTCAGGAAGCGATAGCACTAAACGTGAAAGCTTGCTGAGCCCGGCACTCAGTTCCTCGAGTCGTGATCGGCCATTGGTGCGCTCGGCGTCGGTAGCGCAGATGCGTGACTTAAAGGGCCAGGTACAAGACCTGAAAGGCAAGATCTCGTCCTTGAGAGAGCAGGCGCGCGCGGACACAATGCGACGGCGCAGTCTGCAAAGCTTACGAACGCCAAGCCCCTTTACTCATGCGCAGGTCGATCAGTGGTACGCCAAATCTCAAGAGGAGCAATCGCCGCCCTTGACTGCTACGTCGGACAAGAACCCATGGAACGCCGATGCAGTCAGTGTCGACGGGCTGGTCCAAGAGCGGGGGTTCCCATCCGATGTACTAGTCGAACTACAGGAGCCTTCGATCATGGAAGACAACGAGTCCGTTGTAGACGAGTACGACGCAGCCCAAGAGGCCATCCGACTGGAAGAGAGACAAAAGGCCTTCGACGCTATGGAGGCAAACAAGGGCCAGGATGACGCAATTGACGATGACGATGACATCTCTGACATGCATACTGAAGATGGCTTCGAAGACAGTGTGCAGGTCCAGGAGGGAGATGGATACGACAGCGAGAGTGGTGACTCCCTTTACCACGATACAGTCCAGACTTTTATGTCCCACGAAGATCGAGAAGACGCTTTCGATTACGAACACTTCTTCCTCCACAGCGCACTAGGCAACCTGAGCCAACAGCGTCGGGGCAGCGTCAGTTCCGAAAGCTCCGTCGAGACAACTCGCGGACCGATGACATCGGATGAGTCGATTCGACCGAAATCGCACCATCGAAGAGGCAGCGGCGACACTACTTCAACGATTGAGTCTTTTGCTACGGCTCGCTCGGGGCGAGGCAGCAGAATCAGCACAAACGACGTGAGCGAGGACTTGAGACATGGTATTCTCACCCCACCAAGCGTCAGCCCAATCAGTGAGCACACTGAGAGCCCTCCTACTGCCAAGCGGTCAACAATTGGTAGCACCATGGGCGGCGAGGACGTTTTGGAGGAACTGAGAACACGCGCGCGGGCTGGCTCCACAGTCTACCGTCGACCCATGAGCACTCAAGCAACGATGGGTCACCGTCCGTCGACTGCTTCCTTCGACTCAACGGGTACCAACCGAAGCTTCCCTTTGGTGGGCAAGGCGCGTGTTAGCGTCGGTGTCCTTACGCCCCAAGGTTCTCCCGAGCTGGAGCTGAAGACGATTTCTGATGCTCTCTTGAGCGAAACCGCTAGCATTTGTGACAAAGAGAGTATGCATACACCTGATCAGCTCGCACCCATGGAAGCACTGGCCAAGGAGGACCAAATCCTTGTCGAACGCTTCGTTGCCAGCCTCGGCAGGTGCGTGCTCGCCATGAGCGAGGCTGGTAAGGCGTCTTCGGAGAGTCGGATGTATAGAAGACGCATCGATGCGGCTCGCCGGATCTTGGAGGGTATGGGCGAAACTTCATAATGGTTTCATTGTTCTTTTCAACGCGATGATCTGTTGTATCCGTGAGAGTCTCAACAGTGGTAGGGGCTAGGCTGCAAGGCGCAGTGACGGCAACAGGTCAAGGACACCAGCGCCGGTGTCCAAAACGAATAACTGATAATGTCAAATGAAAAGTGGGAGGCTGCGATTGAGGGAGGCAACGGAGCTAGGCGGAAGATGCTTGTTATTTCCCACGCTACCCACATCGGTTGACGATTCATTTCCTATTTCGAATTCGATACCCTTCTTGTACGTTTTTACAGCTACGTACTAGCTGTTACTTTTCTCTTCTTGTATCTCGTCTATTCATTTGCTCAAGCTGCTCACCTTTCCTTTGTTCAAAGAAGACTCGACGTCTTAAGCGTTTTGTTGAGAATACCAGTGCTGGGAACGTGTATTATGTGAAGAGAGAGCTGGACGGTTTCTGATTACCATTCGAGTCTTTAGCCTAGTCCAAGAATACTATGCAATACCATGCATCGCTATGCCTTCTGAGTATTATTATGTCCTTGAAATGGACAACACGCATAATAGCATGGTCATGCAGGCACTGCTCTAAACACTC